GAGAGAGAGAGAGAGAGAGAGAGAGAGAGAGAGAGAGAGGGGGGGGAATCTATGTGTGTATTACTTGGTCATTTAAAATAAAATTTCAAAAGTTACCTTAATTTTAACCCTGATACCCTGACAGCAGTTTTCTTCCCAGCTGTAGTGACCCCCCCCCCACTTTGGTAAACGACTCAAGTTCCAAGAGGACTTTCACTTCTTTATTTATAATCACAGAAGTGAGGTGCTACTGAACACACACACACACACACACACACACACACACACACACACACACACACACAATGAAATAAAGAAATGAAACTCGCTAAGCAGACAAAAACAGCCAAGTTTCTGCTTAGGAAACAGCCTTCTCCGGTGGGAAAGGTTAGGCTGCCATGTCTAGGAGAAAGACTTACTCCCGGAATTCAGTAGGTCTATCTCGAATAAGTTTTATAATTATTAACAGGTATTTGCAAAGTTTTAATTGCTGGGTGTAATGAATTGGACCTCGGTGTAAAAACAAAGCAGATGCTCTCCACTTGATGAGTTTTTACCCCAGCCATACAGTTCTCAACAAAACTTTTCCTAGGCTATGTAGCAAAAAGCACCTTTGGTTACCTGAATGGACAGGTAACAAAGCAAGTTCCAGGACAGAGAAACCCTATTTCCAAAAAAAAAAAAAAAAAAAGAAAAAAAAAAAAAAAAAAAAAAGCCACTCTTGGGGAAAGCCTGCCACCAAGGAGCTAAAACCACCTGAAATTCCTGCCCACAGACACCCGGATCACTTCAGACTAACATCCCCAAAATGAGAAAATTAGAGAAGAAGGATGGGGGATAAGCACCCTCCCCCCCCCCAAAAAAAAGGATAAAAAGAGGGGAAAAAGAGGGGGGAGGGAAACCTACCTGCGAAGTCTTGTTTGTAGTTTTGGCCAGAAATGGTGAGAAGAAAAAGCATGAAGAAGCCGCGAAGTGTGGGGGAGAAAAAGGTGGAGGCGAAGAAACAGCTCCCGGAGCAAACTGTACAAAACCTCGCCAAGAGTGTCGGGAGGCAGGACCGTTATTCCTGCCGAGCAGGTTAGAACTGATCTCTTTTCGGCCACTCCAGGAAACACAAACCTGGGGACGGACTGACGTGTTACGCCTCTTCTAATGACATTTTTTTCTTTTTCTTTTCTGTAGGGGAGAGAAGAGAGACCCTGAAACACGCGCCACCTATCTTTGTGGGGAGGGATAATTGAAGCGCCCTGAGCGTGAGCATCATGTGAAAACGTGATCGCCAAGTTTCTCTCTGGGAAAGGATCTGGGATAGATTATACCTTGAAGTCTCCGCAAACGCTTTAGTGGAAGAAATGAAATTCCACCTCCCTCCCTTCCTTCCTGCCCCCCACCTCACCCCCCCCCCCCCCCCCCCCCCACCATGCCTTTGGCATCATTATCCTCATCACTAAATCCTGCAGAGTACTGGGCGGAAAACGGTGCACACCATTCACAGAACTGGAGAACTCCGAGGGGCGAAAGTTAAAGGGGAAGATCTTGGGTCTTCCATGCAAATCTCTTTTCTCATACAGATATCTCTGAGGAGTAAGCTTGAGGCGCACATCAAGTTGAATGGATACCTAAAGCACGGTTTTTGAAACTACATTCTTGCCCTTTCTCTTATTACTTTTTTTTTTTTTTTTGAGATGCCAGAGCCAGGGAAAGAAAATGCTACTTGTGCACTGCATCTTAGGATCTTAGGGGTCTCTCTCTCTCTCTCTCTCTCTCTCTCTCTCTCTGTGTGTGTGTGTGTGTGTAGACATACATACATACAGACAGAAACACAGACACA